TGCACAGTTGGGCGTGTAATTGGATATATCGATTTCAAAACCTTCGTTGCCTTGCCGCTAGAATTTAAGTTCTGTTGCGAAACCTGTGGTTAACAGTTATGCATATATGAGAACGACGTATGCATTCACTCAGTAAGTTTATCGGACAGGGTGATTGGGATTGATCGAAGCAGATGTCGTTTTTGGTGCTGTGCTTACTGTGAGTAAAACATCTTGGTTCGAAGGACGCCATGCAAGAGACACACGCTGAAGATGCAAGCTGGGTAACTCCACATTTAACGTTGTCGGGTTTCTCGAGGCAGTGAGGTAAATGGACATGGCAGTGTCAATAAAAATTGAGCATACCGAATGTTGTGTACCAGTGGATCAAAGTTCTTTCAAAATTCATTGCTCACGGCTATTAGATAATTCAATAATTATATTTATCAAACCATTGCAGTTTCATTGTTTATTAGGTGTAGGTCAAATAGGTTGACTCTTTCTGTGTAGTGGATTTATATGCATAAAATTCCAAAATTCCGCTTTTGCGGTAGCTTTGATTTTGTTGATCAATTTTTTACTGGAAGATGGTGACCTATAAATAAAAAAACGCAATGAAAACCCAGTGAAATCCAATAGAACTTATATTGCTGTTCCGTCTTTTTCCGTCAGATGATTCATTGCTACTAAATTTTCCAGTGATTACAGCAACCGACATGGTTGATTTTCAAATTAGGCGCCATCGAGTGGAAAAGATTCTACCCAACAGGCCACTTTAGTCTGCATTCTTCGGATGGACCCTCGAAAATTTGCAGCCATATAATTAAAAAGTGAAAACACTACAAGTGAAAAATTTGGTGGATACAGTCTGACCGACCACTTTTGTCCGACTAGCGACCGATTTCCTGGCACGTGAGAGAAAGCCATTTGACTTTGAACACATTTCTTAGTAGTCCACTTTATACCGTGTGTGAACATAATTCATAATCAGAAATTCTGACGGCAAAAGAAACCAATCAGCTCTTATTATTGTAAGGCTTTCAGGTGCGATTGCGTAGGGCTGCTACCGGCTAAACAAACTTTTTGTCCTGCCTGTTAGGTTCGAACAAAATGTTCCATCTAAAACGTCTAAATTGTGGAGCCTTTTGCTTCACATTTCAGATAATATGCCATTTAACGTGACATCTAGAACCATTGGCTTAGACAAGCATGTGGGAAGAAAATAAAGTGTAACAGTTTTGAAGGACGTGATACCACGCATCTCTATTTTAGTAAATAAGGTTGTGCTCGACCGGAGCAGAAGATACTGGTCCTGGAATAGTAATTCACTAAACATTTCTTATGACTAGTACTTATTAGGCTAATGTAGCGGGATTCAAACGCCTCCTGGTTAGATCGTCAATCCTAACTGTGTGCATATGTATACACCATTTCCTACAACTTCGTTACATCGACTTAACCGAGCAAAAATAGTCAGTATTTCTTTCCAGGTAGAAAGATGAACCAATCTAGCACGGACATCTTGTGGAAATAAATATGAAATTTGTACTTTCCATAGACGTTTAATTATTTGCAAAATGAACGTAGATAGAAAGTAGATAGAATTGCAAAATTAACTACAAACTGCCATGAAGTTAGCGGTAAAAATGGATGTAAATGACTGATGCCAAACGGGAGCATACATTGTGAGTTTATTTCCGGATTTCTGACAGCTCACAGATAATAAAATCAATGGCTTTGACAAAATTTTGGTGGTACCTAGAACATTCAAAATACTGTGACCTAGTTGGCGCCCAATTAAAATAGCAATCAGATATGTGAATTCCTTAGTCGAGGGTACAAATTTCGTACGTCGAATGAAAGCTTATTCAGAGTCTAACTCTGTAAAGGGACTGCGCCTACCTCCAAGAAGTGTGAAACCGGTAGTGGGCTGTCGAAGAGTTTTCAGCAACAATTTTATTAGTTTCCTTTGAGAAGACAGACTTGAACAAATAAACTGAAGATAAAATAGCTAGCTCAGGTTGAAATGATGGCTGTTGATTTAATCTGGGCAATTTGTTTGCAATTTGGTTTGATCGCCAGTCCGTGTATGCGCTGAGAGTAGGAGTGACTCGTTTTTGTTGTTGTGTGGATTGATTTAGGGCCTCCTCCTCAGGGTAGACTATGATCGATTGCTGGTTGTTTGGATAAGCATTCCGGTAAACCTGCAGGTTGACTTGTCTTCTTTTTGATAGGTGTCCGGTTAACGTCGAGACCATGAACTTGACCTTTGTTGCCTTCCTCAAAAGTGACACCCCATTCTTGGTCGGTTGGTCTGATGGCTGCTACTGAATTGCCGTTACCAAGGCGACCATATTGCCCACAAAACAACGGCTAGGAGATAAACCGTTCCGCTTTCCATCAACTCTTTTGATTTGAGTTCATGCTTTACTCCGCAAAATGTCCTTACGAACATACATTCCATAAACTCTTAAAGACAAAAACATGCAAACTTTGGCTTTCAGAAACTGCAGCTTGACGAAGGTGCAATAATGCTGCACTTTGGTTGTAGGCACCTTTTTATTCTTGTTTCACACATTTCACTTTATCAATTCTCGATTTTCCACATCATCTTAAGTCAATCTCATAGCATCATCTATTGTATTGGGAAATCCGGACAACAGACTCATTAAAAGTACCAAGAGACATCATGTTTATTATATAATGAAGAAATAGGTAGAACCAATGTTGTGAACCTCCGACGGACGGTGTTAGATTTCGTTTTAGCTCAGCTGGTTGATTACTGAGAAAAACGTTTGACCGAATTTTCCATAATAAAAAATATATTAACTTGAAACTTTCCCAAGTGCATCCATCATTCCCTTGGCGTAGTTGGTGTATTTGGTATCCACTCAATACTGCACAAAAGCAAGTCTCTTCCACATTGAAAATTCCTCTAAGCACTATTTTATTATCTTGACTGAGGAATTAGTATCATAAAGATTATATAAAGATGGTATGTGTGGTGGCACTTATTTCGCAGGCGTTAACGGAGTGAATAATCCGTTGGCTCGAATGTTTTGAGTATTGATTTTAAGATCAACACCCTTTCGGTGTGGCAATGCATTCTTTAGCGTAACCGCGCGGACTTTCTTTTGATGTATTTTTCTAAATTGGTTCCGTATAAAATGTTTGTATTCATCCAGCTATGTAGTTTTGCTGGTTTTCTTCATGAGTTTGTATCGTAAGCGATTGGTTGACTTGAACTGTTCTAAATATACACTGGTATCTTTCTACCAAGGAAGGCAAACAAACAAACGTGCAACACTCGCACAGGTCACTGTTTCGGTAGGTTTTTCTGGCCCACGCGTTAACCGTAGTCTACGAATTCGTCACAACAGACAACCCAATACTTTGCATTATGTCACTAGGACTGTTAAAGTGGGTGCATTTTATACTCCACCAAGGACACGTAACTGCGCATTCTTTCGGGGGGTTGTGTGGCCGAAAAGATTTGGAAAGTCGATTGGATCTAAAACACAGTGTAGCTTCATTCACCAAGCCTCCAAACGCTTACAGTAAAGTAAGATTTTCCAGGTTGCGTCAAGGTTAACGTGCACGCTTAACTTCGGGGACGATCAACCTGCCGCATAAACCACCAGATAAATTTCTGATAGAATATCAGTAACGGTTCTGGCATGAACTCTGAACATTCACTGGTTGCCAAATATCTGCTAATGAGGGTCTAAGCTATGGATTTCAGCCCGATAGATCACATCAAATAACCCATATACCTGTGCGAAAATGACAAGGGGACCCATCTTTTTTGCGGACTCTCATGCATCCAATCACAAAAGAGAATTCTGAGACCATGGATGTTTGAGCGTTTGCCAGGCAAAAGCAATTCATCGCTGCAATAAAAAAGTGTAAGCGCGACTCATCTTTGTTTAAACAAAGTAGCATGCATAAAAGGATGTTTGGGATCGAATACTCTGTAATCTAAGCAGTATTTGGACTGGCTAGATTTTATTTACTGCTCAACAAGTTGAAGTGCATGTGTAACCAGACCCATCGTCAATGTGCAGAATCTACTTGTTCCTGCCTACATTATTTTGTTTAATTTGATCAAATGAATCTGAATAAGTTATCTGGATTCGAAGCCAGATCAATACTGCGCTCGTTTTATGTGCTCTCGGTTATTAGGATTTCAGTAATTTATCAGAAAAAAAAGCAAACGCCTTTTTTTGAAGAAAAGACTTCCTGTGCAGAGACATTTTGATAACTGCTCAGCTGTTAGTTCTGGTATGATAAGTAAATGTTTCGCAGAAATGGCATACCAACAAAAGCGCAGAAGGTGATATCACGTGTATGAGGAAATTTGAAAATCGGGTAGCAGTTTTTGTCACAAATCACGCCATCGACGAGCGGATTAGAATGACAGAAATATAAATGCGGAAGACGTTAAAAAAATCAATGCAAACAAAGCTAGACGTAGTATGGATTGTGAGAGAGCAGAATACTGTGTAAATCAATTCCTCAGCAGAAAGTGAACTGGAGGATGCAGGACAAGGAAAGCCAAGTACTCCATTTATTATGCTAACAGGACGTTGTTACCCGATCGTTTTTGTCTGCACGAAGGAGGATCCAAATGATAGATATCAGTGATCTCAGCATCATCGGGGATATACTGACACGTAGATGTGAAAATGACTACGAATTAGTGGGGTGTTCACATGGTGTCCTCGGTTCATCGGTCTTTCTAATGCTGGCCAATGAAAGCCTGGGTTCTCCAGCTACTTGAAGGTAGATTTCCCGAAACCATCACAGGGTACCTCAGGGATCGACCGATTGCTCTATCAAATTTTTACTGAAGACCTCAGCTGGTATTACTGTTCAACGAATAAAGACTCTGGATGTGCAACTTGCGCAGTGTGTGCTTAATCCAACTTGAGCCGACCAGTACTGCACGTGCTCGAGTCGTATTCACCTGGTGGTAACATATTTTTGACAACACTATAATCAACCAACGCAACTGCGTGTAGCTTACTTTCAACAATCAAATTTATCGAAAGAAGAACGGGGTCGCGATGGGGTCCCTTCGAGGTCCCATACTGTCAGATTTCTTCATGAGCAAGCTAGAGACTCAAAAATTAGAAGCACTCATTGGACGGTTAACATTATATCGCCGCTACGTGGACGACATTTTCGTACTTGCCGACGAAGCCATCAGCACAACAGACGTATTAAGCAGTTTCAATTCAGTCCATGCTAATATCAAGGTTACTATCGAATCAGAACAGAACGGACAGTTAAGTTTCCTCGATGTCAATGTTAAAAAGAAGACTGACGGAACCATACAACGCAAGGTCCATAGAAAGCAAACGTGGAAAGGTCAGTACATTCATTCTGATAGCTTCGTTCCATTGCAACAAAAAAGCAAACTAATTAGATGCCTGACCGAGTGAGCAATGGAGATGTGCTCGCCCGACTGCTTGGAAGAGGAACTAAAGTTCTTGGGACGCACAGTCCTGCAGAACGGATATCCTGAAAGGTTCGTTCTCAAGACTATGGAAGCCGTTAAGCCTAAACCTACACAATGTTCTGTTAGGAAGGAGCCCGTATATATGAGGCTTCCATTCAAAGGTGACTCGTTTGCGGAACTAGTCACCAGAAGGCTTACAAAGTCCCTTGATACGACATACTTGGCTGCTAATCTATGTTTGAGCTTCAACTCCAGCCCCACTATCAAATTCTGCTTGAAGGACAATTTGTCACGTTCCACCACCAGCCTTTGTGTGTATTCATTCGTATGGTCGTGCCAAGCAGCCTACGTTGGTCGTACGACAGGTAGTGGGAAGAAACCAGGCTCAAGCGTGATTGCATCACATTCGGCCGAAACCTGTCATGTCATAGAGAAGGAGCAAGCCTTCACCATCATCTACCGGCTACCTCTGAACCGACCACGCTTGGTACGATCCAGACTACTATCAATCGCAAAGGCGATTGGAATCCGACTGCTGGATCCGCAACTTTGCATCCAAAAGAAACTTGGGCGAACTCTGAACTTTAACTGGCCTACGAAACATCCGGTGCCACAAGTCTGTCTGACATTGACGTCACTCACCTGACTCCGAGACCCATTGACCTATCCCTCACCCAATCCCCTTCCTTTGATTTCTATTTCTCTAAAGTGTATGTAGCGCCGATCTTAACATTTTCCACGCGATCTCTGCTACCAAGTGAATTTGTGGCGTATTAACCGAGAGGAACAATCACAGAAAACAAGCTTTGTTCGCTACCTTCGTTCCCATGAAATAAATATTTCCCGATTTCCATGTCCATTGTAGTAAAATGGTCCACTTTGTCAGCATCCAATGTCCTTCAGTGGTGAAATGTTTTCTATCATTCTGTTTTATTGTCCTATTTCCAAAATCTTACTCCAGAATGCGCGTCGTGACATCTTCTAATACTATTGAAAATGTCCTTGGGGCAGTACTGAGTTCGCTGTCCCTGGGTCTCTCGAAATCCCTGCTATTCTCGTATCCTATTGGATAAAAGGCGATAAAAACAGGGTAGGTCGCTGATTGAAATGGAATTTCATTACATACATGATTATTGAGCACTGATTACGGTAACCAATCTATGCTTAGCTCCTCTGTGCGAACCAGGGCAGCCAAACCAAACGGTCTTTATTTATATAAGTGGCTTATGAAGGATTCAGTTTTTTATTAACCAGACCGTTTGTGTGCGTCATCTATTACAGGATAGTGTAGGGTATGTTAGTCAGGTATTCTGCCAAATTACCCACCTGAATTGAGGTCTAACTACATTGCGATTTCCATTCATCTAGCATAAGAAGGTAACTTACTGGAAGGTAATCAGGTAATGAAGAAGTCATGCAGACAGTGGACATACTTGTCAGAGATTTTCATCAACATCAAATTTCATAGCACTCTTCTGCATTTACATATCTGATAGGTTAGTAATTCCTTACCGCAAAGCACAATTTTCCAAAACACAACACAAAAAATAATTTCGTGTTTCACAGTAAGCAGTATGCACTCTTCTTTTTTGGGAGATTTGATAACAGTGAGGCAAAAATTGGTGAAAACCGTTGCCATTCCCTAATGCTTCTTATTAGTTTGTCACTTTAGCCTTTATTCAGATGAAAAACACGGAGGACTACAGCAAAGTGTAAAGGGTCCAGGGTAAAAAATTGGAGGGTGGGATATCAACGCTGTCCACATCATCATAAAACATTGCAAATCATTCGACGGTTCTGTGGTACTCAAGGATAATAGGAAACGACAAAACGTCATTTTCACCAACAACTCCGAACTTTAGCGACTGTGCGGCTTACCGAAAAAGTGCCGCCAGGCACAAGACTCAAGAAAGAACTGCCGCTCTTCTTGTGGAATGTGACACGTGTCTGCAAAATCCTTCAACACAATATTCTTTTAACGCAAACTCCAAGACCAGGACCAAAAGCCTAAATATAACCCAATGACTTCCATCTGTTTATTGTGGATTCGTGATAATTTGGTTGTTGATGGATTTACGTAAAATTGTCTAGTCGGACTGCAAGGTACAGATATAAACAAATATTTATCTCGTATATATTAATGCCCCCGATATGCTCGGAATATCCGTAGCATGCCGGTTTATTGCAGCTAGCGAGAAGGAACAATCCCATAAAAGCGGAACTCTCCGATTGACCGTCATTTCTGTGCCGTGATCAATTCTTGAAATTGAGGTTATTTACTTTTTAGAATACGTGCTAGAATATATGGTAAAACAATTGCTGCATCAGCCAGCTGCCATCGTCGTGCTAACTGAAGTGTGAGATGGCTTTTGTGCGGTAAATTCATTCATAGGTTATCATATAAGAGAATTTCAGTTGAATCTTTTAGCAACAAAAATCAGGTTTACTGGCAGGTCTATTTGTTCCCTAAACACACTCAAGTTTCATTCATTGCGTGTATATTTAAGACAGAAATCTAAGAGATCAAAATCCCAATAAAAGTATGCTTACCGTACTCCCTACATCCTGTGTCAGGCTCATCGAGATATCACTGTAAATGCGGGGTTTGAGAGTAGGTTTAATTGTAAACATAAGTGTATATACTCATATACATGTCAGGCGTTTGCTACTGAAAGCCGATATTCCTGGTCTCTCTTCGGACCGGTTGCCGTAAAAGTGGCATTGTCATCCACTTTTACGGTAACCAAACGCCAGTTTCCCACCTTTTGTATCCAAACTTATTAGTACCGTAATTCCAGATGACAGCCAAATCGCATGCTTCACTGACAGTAATCATAAGTAGATGTGAATAGCAAAAATCACGTCAACCTGTTTTGAGGAGCAGTCAAGTTACGCGGGAGAAAATATTGGTGACTCACTGTTATATTCATTTCAGAGACGTGTCTTGGTTTATTGTTGATACAGTCTACACGGAGCTAGTGACAATCTCCAGCAGGGCGTTAACATGCGCATATTGCAACGTCAATCGTCAATTCAAACAGACCATCAAAAATTCTCTCTGCGTAGGATTCTTGGCATTCAGTTTTCAGCAATGCGCCAGAACAGGTCAAAAAACGAGCTAATGTGTAACAGACAACTCACTGAACAATGGGTACATCTTCTGAAACCAAACACTGGTTGGTTTATAATTCAAGTGCTGATTGTTGCCTAATGGCAGTAAGTTCCGTTGTGCTTGTTTTTGAGATCAGATACGTGAAATAATCCACCATTCTAACCTTTGAACAATTACCACCAAAAATATTTTCCGTTGCATGGGCGCAGTAACCCTATTTTATCGTTGCCACTTTGTTTAGTAGAATGAAATCAGTTATATGAATTTGTTGAAATAAAGCATGACTTTTGAGTTCATATCACTCAGAGGTAAAATCGCAAGAGCCGGCGATTTTGTACCCAAGTGTAATGGTTTGTTCCCGTTGCATTTGAAGCACGAACTAGCAGATAGAACACCACATAGCCCAGAGCAATTCAAATCATGTCACTATCTTTCCTGAAAATTTCCTCGTGTACCCGACCAATGTGGAATCTGAATGGAGACAAATGAAGATAAATAAGCAAGCTGCCTATCCATGGGGAAACTATTCAACACGTGGTTGTATTGGCAAAGTCGCTTCACAAAAAAAGATAAATTGAACAAAATAGTTTAACAACTGGAACATATCACAATGTCTCTTTTTACAATATTTGGCCCCGTTTCGGCGAGGAATTCAATAACCACAGATGAATCTAATGGAATTTAAGCTCCTATTTGGAGATAAAAATCGTTTTCAGATCGTTAAAATAAGGGAATAAGTGAACTGTTTTTGTTTAACACTCTTGATGAAGGAATGCATCCGCATGTTAAACAGCCGTTTCACAAGATATCTAACTTAAAATAGGAGGTATGAAGCTATGTAAATTGAGGTGATGAAGCTTCAGTTACTTTGGCGCGAAAGGTGGAAGCAAGTTATGAAAGAGCACATCCTTAAATCATTTTGATTAGCCATTGAGCTAAAGAAACCGACTGAATTTCGGATCGAGCTGTTTTTTGTAACATGTTCTTTCCCCGCGCCCCAAGTCTCATACGAATCCTTTGTCTAAGTAGAGGCGGTGACGTGTACAGAGCTCTCACCCAGATAGCTTAAACAAGAAGACCCGAATAATATTCTACTGAATCAGTGTTGAAGGCGCATGTAATATGTTACCATAATCGGTGAAGGAACAATTGGCAGGGATTGAAACGACCATTAATACGTCAATCAACAGCCTCGAGAACGCTACCGAGAATATTGTCTCCTTGAAAGATATACGTACGGCTTTAAATGAGTTCGGTCATATCTCTTAATAGGTGGCTTGAAGCCTAAAGAATGTTGCATTTGATGTTACGTGTTACTTGATCTGGAAAGAATAGCCATCTTTTTGGTCGCAAAAAAGGTTGCAAGGACAGGATGTGAGATGACAATGTTAGTTGGTTCAACTGGATGCCCCATCCAGATGAAATTTCCAAATTAAATATGGTACATTTTTAATGCATTGTGCAATGATACTTCTCATCGTCCCCGAATATTCACTGCAAGAAAACGTGTATTGTGTGTAAATCATTCTATGTGACAATTTCTCTAAAATGTATTTTTTAGCAACGGTAAATCAAAAAGCAAAAGCATGCTTTTCACTCTTGAAACTTTGCCTGTGAACGATTGGTTTGGTTTCTACCTATCTGGTATATAATTAAAACGATTTGTGCACGTTTAATTCAGTGTTCCATCTACTTCTCAGCTCAATTAGCCCTCCAGTTAAAGGTATGAACGTAGCTTTAAACTTAGCTGTTGGATTTCAGATTCAGCGAATTTCAAAGTACTTGGTGAATGAAATATCCAAACAAACTCGTGGTCTGTAAACCAGTCACTTATTTACAGCCGAAACCTCCGTGAATGCAAACTGTACAAT